CCCTCCCTCCCCTCGCCGCACCCCTCCTCTCCCCTCGATCCCCACTCCCCTCCCGGGTCCCGGCTCCTTCAGTCTGTGCCCCCTCCCCTCCCCACGTCGGTGCCCGCGCCGGCGGCTCTGACTTAGCGTCCCCAGAGGCGCGCGCACCAATGCGGAACCTCCAACAGGCCCCTTTGGGCTCTTTCTCCAGGTGCCTTGCCCCTTCGTGACGCACACGACTTGGAGATGCGGCTCTTCATTCAAGAAGCACCGAACACCTGCTGTGTGCCAGGCACTGGGCAGTGGGCCTGAGAACACCTCGTGTCCCGGAGAGAGGGGCTTGAGTGCAGGTGCGCAGGTGCAGGAGCTGGGACCGATGCCTTTCTTCAGTTTACTCTCTCTGCATGTGCTGTAAAATGGGACTTGTGCTCATACTTGGGCCCACAGCGACATCGCTGTCACTGAGGGCCTTGCGACACTAAGGCAACTGCGATGGAGACCACTCCTTGGACACTCCTTGGCCTAAGCAGACTATCTGCCGTAACAGAACAGAGAGTGTCTTTTCTCCTAGAAGATAGCCTGGCTGACCTTAAAGATTGAATACCGGCAGCCTAGATCCTGGTCCCAGCTCTACCTCTACTGTAATATACTTGGCAAGGGATTTCCCCCCCAGAGGAGGGGTTTGGATGGCTCCTCTCACCTGGCGGGCACTGATGGGACCACGATTGCAGGACAAGCTGCATGGGAGTGAAGGCACCTTCAGGACAGCTGTGGGGTCCCCTGAGGGTGGGCCCCACTGGCATCTCACTGTAATGGAGGCAGTGAGTCCCCTTAGGAAAGTTACAAGTGTAACATTATTACATTGAATAGCTACAAGGGCCACAGATAGTCTGTCTCATTGATGTCACAGACGCCACCTGCAAGGCCACCCTGAAGCTGATGTTGACGTGACTGTGACCCCTCTTTGCCTAATTCTCCACAGGTTATCACCCCTCACCCCCAGGAACCCTCCCTCCTCTGGGCTCTCACAGCACCTATCTTGATGTAAATTCTTGTCGCTGAAAATCTTCCTAAAGCAGGTCAGTCAGTCTCTTGGTCCTAGCAAGCTGGTATAATGAAATCTCCCTTTGGTAACAGAAGGGCAACAGCCCTAGGGTTAATACTCCTACCATAAATCCTCATTATCCTGCACGAGCAATGTAACTGGGGAATGGGGGCCACTGAGCTGATAAAAATCTCTCTGCTCTGGAGAGGCTTTTGGGGTTAAATCCTATGGTAGTTTGGAGGGGGCAAAACAGAGTTCAGGGTGATCTCTTTGTGGAATTATCCTGGCTCTGCTAAGGCAGCTGGAAGTTTTCAACCTCAGGACACGCAGTCATCCTGCTGAAACCCACAAGAGACCTCTGGAGGATTTATTAATTCATCATGGGGGAAGGTTCTTATCATAGGGTGGAACCCTTATGCCCAGCCTCCAAGAAGCCCAACAGGTGAAGCAAAGGGAAGCAGGGACTCCAGCACACCAGGGGACAGTGGTGGGAGGATGGCTTCTTGGTGGCTCTGAAAGGTGAGGCTGACGCCTTGTGCCCGACCCAGTCCAGGCAGAGACCACCTGTGCAGATTGCTCGTGCCAACCAGAGAACATTTTGGGGCTCCCTGAATTCTTTTTAGCTTTCCAGCTGATTCTGCCCTATCCATTCATACAGTATTATTCCAAACAGGGTACACATTTATATGCAAGTTTATGAACTGAACCATGTCCCCTGAGAAATTCCAATGTTAAGGCATAACCCACAAAGTGACTGTATTTGGAGGGAGACAGCACCTTTAAAGAGGTAATTAAGGCTAAATGAGGTCCTAAGGGTGGGGCCCTAATCCAATATGATTGGTGTCCTTATAAGAAGAGGAACAGACAACCAGAGAGAACATGAAGAGGTCATGTGTGCACACAGTGAGACACTGGCTGCCTACAAGCCAAGAGAAGAGGCCTCAGAATGAAACCTACCTTGGTGGCACCTTATCTTGGACTTCTCAGCCTCGAGAACTGTGAGAAATAAATTTCTGTTGCCTAAGTCACCCAGTCATTAATACTTTGTAATAGCACCTTGAGCAGACTAAGACAGCACCCAGTGGGCAATGGGAATACATTGGTGAAGAAAGACAGAAAAGGAGCTTACTGTCTAGGAGGGAAAACACGGTAAATGAGTAAATAAGTAATTTCAGATTCTAAAGAAAATTCCACTATTATGAGAGACAGTGGAGGGAGGAGGCAGTGGTGTTCTTACATTGGGCCTTAAGAAAGGGCTCTCTGAGGAGGTGACATTTGACCTCATCAAGGACGACAAGGAGCCAGCTTTGTGCCTTTGAGGGAAGAACATTCCAGATAGGAGAATTAGCTTCAAAGGTCCTAGGTGGGCAGGAAGCACGGCAAGGCCATTGTGGCTGGAACACCAAGAATGAGGTTGGGAGGTGCACAGGGTCAAGGACTGAGGATAAGCTGAAAAGTCTTTGGAGGGTTTTAAGCAGAGGAGGGGCATGATCTAATTTATCTGATAGGGATGAAGTTGGCACTGTCCCCAACCTCTAATTCCAGAGATAGACAAGAAAACAGGCAAAAATCGTAGCAGTGTGATGGGTACTTTCCTAGGAGAAGCTAAGGCCGTGGGAAAGTAGAAATTTCACCAATGTTACCCATAGGCCTAACTGTAGGTCTTTATCACATGCAACTAAACTGAAACTTATTAAAGGATTTGTCTACTGCTGCTTTTTTTCTTCACCCTCCAAACAATATTAAACAACCTCGGTTAGCACACTGGCTCCAGCCCTCAGATTTTTCAACATTCCCAAACTTTAGACCTACTTTTTGAGGGGGGGGTGGTAGGATCAGAGAGGATTTTGCTTGCAAGTAGGCGGCTTCTCCCATGGGGGAAGCAATGTTCAGACCCACTTGATTTCTCCTGGGGCAGAAATAATTGGTACTAAATACATCCACTTACAGTCCCAGCACTTCAGTAGAGGCTTGTTCTTGAGTGACATTAAACAAGAATGTCTCTGAACAGGGCACATTTCCTCCAAGATATCATGCAGAAAGTGCAAGCTGCTTATTACCAGGTGTGAAATGTACTGTCTGAGAAGGGAACACAAAGATTTTGGTGAGTTAGTGATGATGGAGGCAGGTGGGAGGGGCGTGGAGGAAGGAGGTAAGTACTGTCGGGAAGGGGCAGGAGGTGGAGCCAGGTCTTGGAGGTGGTAGAGGTAAGTCAGGTCATCACTTTCACGTTCTGTCCATCAACCACTCTTCATAGATGGAGCTGTAGGTGAGGCCGACAGTTCTTTTCTCTTCCAGGGCCTCTTGGTTCAGCCCACGCCACCTCACCTGGGCATCAGGGCCCAACTCTCCCCTCCGTTTCCTGGTTACTCTGGCCCAGGGCGGAAAAGCGGTCCTGTGCTGTCTAGCACCTGAGCAGGACGGCCACCTCCAGGCCAGAACACTAGGGCTTTCCTTTGCTTACAGGCTCTCCGTCTGTCTGCAGCCTTCGCCTTTCTAAAGACCCTCCTTACCTCCTCTCCCTCCCTGGGCTAAGAAAGACCCCAGGACCGGAGTCGGGGAGAAAACCCCGACTTGCCTGCCACGTTCAGTTCAGGGGTGGGCTCTTACCAGGCCCGACGGCCAGCTGCTAAAGAAGCCTCTCGAGTGCTCACTGCCCCGCAGCAGCCCTCAAGCGTCCCTCCCACCCTCCTGGCTCCTGCGAGGAGACTTCGGGTAGAAAGACAGAGTCCAACCAAAGCCTGCGTACCTGCCTTCCCCCTCCTCCCCGCCCGCGGCCCCGCCCACGCGGACGGAGGTTTAAAGGGCCGGGCAGGCCCACCCGGGCGTGACGCCCTTCCCCGCTCCCGCCGC